AAAAAAATAAAAAACGTTTTTATTTGTTAACGGTTACACGTATAAAAATAATGACACTCAAATAAAACATTTGTTGAAAAATCAAATTTAAAATATTTATAAAGTTGGATTATTAGCAAAGTAAAAACTTTTATATTTATGAACTAACGAAAAGGTAAAAATGTTTGTTTTTTTTTTCTTAGAAAATGATTCATTACGTCCTTGTAACGTGGAAGACTTAATTTGTCTCTCTCAAAAAAACCGTAAGAAAAAAAAAATTACCAATAATCTTAATAATTAACATATATACGATTTAGAAGTCTTCAATAATTTCATACCGACCGAACAGACTGCATTTTTCTCTAAGGAACCACCTGGACTAAAATGCGATTGTATGCCCGATTGCCTCCACCAAATGTATATGTCCGAGTTGACTATTGCTGAACCGACCATATCATCAATATTGTAAGTCTATTTTAGTAATTAAGTATTATAGTTTAACACCATTATAATGTAATTTTTGATTTAAGAAATTCTTCATCATCTATACTAATCGATGTGCATTTCAAGCAGAGCACATGTATTCTATACAGATCAGACTTAGTCCTAGGATGGCTTGATTTATTAGGTAATTGTAATGGGTACCTACTAACCAAAAGTGATGGTATAAACTTTTTATTTTCATGAAATAAATATAGATGATAGAGGTCGACCACCGCCACTTAAATTGTACGACACAAAACTTCATATATTTCAATAATATAATGTGATATATTTCGTTATCTTCGTTACCTTTAGTCCAATTATATTAACTTTATATAGCCTAGACCCAATGGGTACCATGACCACCACTCAATATTGGTTTTAAGGCAAATACCTCATTAAATAATTGCTACTTGGTATACTTAATATTATCAATTCAATATGACACACGTTTAAATCATACTACAAATTATATTTATTTTTTATTTTTTTACAGTGTCATTTGGGGGTTGCGCTGGATTATTTCTAGGTGCATCGCTGTTAAGTTTTATAGAACTCATATATTTCTTAACGTGGAGAGTGTACTATCATTGGCGTCGAAAACCATCAAAACGAATGAAATTGAAAAAATGGAGAGAACATAAAATAGTAAAAGGCCCATTGAGTGATAGCATGAATAGTCAAAGCATCATATACTAACCTTAAATCTAAAAAAAATAACTTACAGCATTACCTTTAGCCTTATAGATATATATTAATAATAATATACAAGTTTATATCTGAATAAGTTATTACTATTATTCACTAGGTAATAGGTATTAATAAATAATATTTTATTTTTTCTTATACTTTCATATTCATAAAAAAAAATTGCACACATACTGATGTAAAAGATAATATCGTTTTGTACATATATACACAACATTATAGATAAAATATAACTGCTGTGGTGTTATTTTTACTGATATTGGCTGTATTAAATATTATTGTTATTGATTCTTATTTGCCATTTCGAAATTGTATGTTGTCTTGTTTACACATATTGTGTCTTTAGTAAGTTAGTTTAACGTACAAACATGCCATACTGACATATATTACATTATATATATATATATAAAAGGTGTCCCAGCAGAAGCACATATTTAAAAAACGCAATAGCTTAGCAAAAAACCATCGACATTTCAAAAAAAAAAAAAAGAAATATTGCAACCATAAACTCCTATTTAATGATAAAAAATAATGTTTAGCAAATGTCTACTTTCGCGATCCCTACATGCAATAGGGCGATCGTTGAAATTGATCACTTTCGCACTCATCTCTCTACCGATTCCGCCAATTACCCGCTTGATTCCTTCTATCAATTGTTGGATGCTTGCGGGATATTTACATAAACAAATTCGACGGTTTTAATTATTAACATATCCAGAGAGGTGGAAGTGAGCCTCGTCACCGAAGATTATTGGAAAACACATGTTTCTCACATGGACAGCTATATGTTGCCTGCTCACGTGTAGGAAAACCATCAAATCTCTTCGTGTTAGCGAAAGACAGGTTAACCAGGAATGTTGTACACAAGGTAGTACTTAAATAATTTTTAGTTTTAATAATTTAATTTATTTTTGTATGTTTTTAATGTATATAGTATATTTTGTAAGTAGGTCACTGATTATAAACAATAATTTAATATAAGACATTCAGAAAATAATTATTATATTATTATATATAAATAATTCAGTAAATTCAGAAAATATATATGTTGGTTTGTGCTTAATTTCAACATTTAGATACTTTACCTATTACTTTTAAATTTTCTCATACATAATAACACT